GTGCTCACATTATCGTTTTGTATTAACCATGCTTTCGCCTTCATTTTCAGCTTATGTACGTCTATTCTTAGACAAGTAAAGCGCTATTCATTCTACGCCATTCATTGTTGTTCTCGCGCTCAATCAGAATCCATATTCTATTCGTAACAGGATGTTCGTTCTCTCTTTCATCTGTTTACGCGCCGAAGGACTCAGCTCTGAATCTTACAAAGGCAGCTTTAGATGGTGTTTTACGACGGGATGAATGCACAGGTATCTTGGTCGCCGGTTGAACGGAGGCTCAAGATAGGCTGAGCGCCACTGAGGCGCAACCGGGTGATCCTCTTGGGTTGGATACGGAAAGCGTGGTGAGCGAAGGGTACCCGGTGCACATGTATGTTGACCACAGAGTGTTCTTTTGGATTATCGATTTCCGAAACGGCGAAAACCACTTGACAACGGGATGTCCACAAAAGAACAAATTGAACATATCATCAGTTATCGGTGGCAGGGTGAACCATAGCCTGGCACTTCTGAAGTAACTGCGTGGACTTCAATCAGGGATTTGCCCGTTGCTCCAAACTTAACTTGTGTGTCCTATGCAAAACAGGTACATCTTGTTTAGCCACTGGGAAGCCCGTGGACCCTGAAAAAAGAAAACTATTAGAAACAGCTCTGCCACCGCCTATCTGCCAGGAAGACCACCGGTGGTGGATTCCTCCTGCTGACAAACAAAACTCAACTTGACGCATCATCATCAGCTGTAAGAACTGCAAATTTGCCGCAATAGGCGCCACAGTTTCTTTCACCGACGCTTCGGGGAGATGGGGCAGATAGCTGCGCATTCGAGGCGGCAGCTGATATAACTAGTGCGTTAAATCAGGTGCCAGTCGACTTTTCATTGAGAGATTTGGGGGATGTGCAATAAAAACAATAGCTTGGACGCATGAGCGCGACCAGGTTGCTACTGAAGAGGGTTGGATACAGACCGTCCGGTCCCGATGCCTTTTCATGTTTCAGTACGGGTAGTTCTCACTATATTTCTTCCGATGGGCGACTAAGGTTTACATTCCATTCGTCCGTATGAACTATCTTCGCAGGCTGTGTTGCAGGAGGCTAGCTAAACTAGTCTTCGAAGTGTTCAGTCCATCTTCCTTGTCAACATTTTTGCAAGTGAATTAGTGAGCCATCTATTTCACTTATCCTTCCAGACTGTTACTTTCCTAGAGCCATTCGATTGTACCAGTTAATATAGGGCACGGCTGCTCTCCAACTCCCGGGCTTTTTATGTCCACCGGAGTTCTCGGGCTTTCCTTGCAATTTTCACTATTTGAGGGATTTCTGTGCGCCATCAAACACACTACCTGAGGGTACGTATTTCGTGGCATAAATCAGAACCGGCGACTTCTACGATATCCAGTGGTCACTTAATTGTATTGGAGAAGTCGGAAAGCCAATGCTGAACGCAACAAGCATAGCTCCTTTCACATTTTGTCGTGCTTTACGCACGTGCTAGCTACCAGCGCAGTGTTGGTCTGCAACAGACAGTTGTTGAGCCACCTCAGATCGACACTACTGAGCTATGTTATTTATTGGAAGATGGTGGATTGGCGTGCTTCTTGCTGCCTTGAGAGGTACTGAAGGGAAGCCAGCTGTCAGGTGTGCATCCACCATAGCGTGATCGGAATCAAGTGGTGTGCCCCATAAAGAACGGCAATCTTGAATTCTGACACGCCCTAGTGGCCACATGATCCAACTGAGTGCGCGGTTGTTAGGGCTGACTGGCCTCCGGAGGCCACTCCGGAGGCCAAGAATCGAAAGGCGTTGCATGACCGTTCAGCTGGTCAAAACAGACAACCAGCGGCGAAAGGACGACACTTTACAAGGATTCAGTCCAGCAGTAGGCGTTCGGCTTTGGGGTTTAATGCAGCTCCCACACAATATAGCCCACGAGTCATAGCTTCTGGGTCACCGGACACACGAAGGGAGAAATGTGACAAGCTGAGTTTGTCCTTGTCGTTTTTTATGCATAACCACTCTTGGGTCTCGTATGTGTGCTTCAGAGATATAACGTGTGTCAAGTTTAAGGGGGCATAAATTCTGAGCGAGCACTTCCCATTTGAAAATTTGAGTGCGGACGTTAAAAGTACTATGTAGGAAATATCTCAAGGATTAAGCAAGGTGTTTACTACACGGATTCACGGATTGATACACAGCAATAGGCTTTCGACCAAGTTTTCCGGGTAGGTTTTGTTCCTTTTATTCAGCGGTGTAGCACCGCTTTTCACACCCTTAGCTCTGGGCAGTGCGCTTGCCAGCGCAAGACTCGCATAGAAAGTATCTGATAGGGCTTTGAACTCGGTTCTAGACGGGGCTTGGACAACCGCCCGAAGAAATTCATTCTACGCGGAAGCATCCAGAAATGAGAAAACATTTGCTTGAAATAGACACTGGGGTGCATTATACCCATCGGTCACACAAATGACAGCCAGTTGACCCTGTCTGAAACCTCTCTAAGTCGCGCTGCGCCTGTGTTTTTGACATGCTTTGGGGCGGTAATTCAGTTTTGGCACCTTCGAAAGTTGTTCTAGCGGGAATTATAGCTTACAAAGTTCATACGGAGAACCAAGCTGAGAAAATGCCGTTGTCACAACGCGGCAGGGGTTATCATGGTTTCGTTGATGGACATTCCCGGGAGCCAATACCTCACTGGTCCTGCCCACTCGGTTACAAAGCACTGGCCTGATCCGAGAGCGCAAGCAGTAAGACATTATATCTCGCCCCCCGTGCTGCTGCATTCAACATGTGCCTCTTGCGTAGCGCCAGACTCTGGCTTTAAAGGTAGTTCTACCGTAATGAATTATGCGTCGGTGGTCACGGGGATAGGGTTGTGCAGATTTTAGGCCTGACTTTTCTCACCTGTCCTTCTTCGGGAGAAGGCGCCACCGCTGGACATTCTGAATTGCTTGAAGGAAACACCTTGTGGCTCTACACTTCTATCCCTTCAACAGTTTACTCACGGACCGCCCGTAGCATGATCATTTGTATACGATGCCTATCTGTTTTTGGTCTTACTGCTCCCCCTTGTTTTTCCTGGCATGGTTCTGGTTTTTTGAATGGGGTTCCACTCATTGTAGGCCACCCGATCTTTGTAGCATTTTAGCCCGGCTGCCAGGTCAAGATGGTAGGTCTAGGTCGGAAATGCAGAACAACACGACCTGTTTGATATGACGTTTGAAGATATCCAGCAATTGAAACTGTGGGGAATATGTGAATCGCAGCACGATGAATTTTGTACACTTTGTGAACTGCAGCATATGTTTCGTTGGATCGTTTCGTGCATCAAAAATATGCCGCTATCTAATAAAAAATTGTTGACGATGGACAGAGATTGAATGCCGCTTGTGTTCAACATGCGTACTAATTTTCATCAGACACCTCATCAGAAGACATGGAATAAACGCTTTCCCTATGTCGTTCATGAGATCGCTGTTGAATGCGTCGAAACTCCTCAGGTGAACAGGATTTAGTCAGTAAGTGTTCAGATGCGAAAAGCGCATGTTGGGAGAACGACGTGTCCCTAAGGTGACCATCGATAACCCACTTTTGGGATAGCGGGTGCGTGGGTGGAGCTCATTAAACTCGGCTAAGCAGTGTGCGGCCAGCAAATAAGGGTGTGAAAATGTTCCCACAAGTAACATCATCGGGTGGATAGAACGGACAAAGCCATTCAGCTATTCTATACATTTGTGCAGAAAATCTGTATGTTCGTCCTGAGAGCATAACCGTATTCTGGATTCTTGTGTCTTCTTATTGCGCAGTCTGTCATGTCCGTTTGAGGCATAACCGATAGTCTGCCATCCACGGTGATACAATACTAAAATTCAGTGTTCGGGATATCACACTAAATTTCAGAGGCAACCAGCGGTTAACTGACGGTTAATTTCGATTGCCTCTGCCAGTAGATTGCCTCCGCCGATAGAGTGCTTGATACGGGCGGATAGCTCGGGCATGTGGGCATTTTTAGGCCATGTACGAGACGCTCTAAAGGACTGCGTAGAGATCATGCATCCTATTTAGAACGCCTTATATATCCGGATCACCAGCGAAACTCTCAGACGCTCGCAGCCTTAGGAATCTAACCATATCTGCGGATATCTACTGAAGGCGATGCAAAGGAAGATGAACTTTTGGTCTTGCTGGATGTCTGCCTTTTTTCAAGATCGGGCAGGCGGCTTTCCAAACGCCGTATACTCCTCCTTTGTAGCCAATCCTACAGTGTTTAATAGCCGGCCACGTCACCATATGTTAAGTGGGCGGTTCAAATCGTGCAGGACGTTCAATTGGAAAGTTTTATATATGTTCCGGAGGTTCGGCAGGTGCAAGCCGTGCATCGGAACACTCTGTAAAGATCTCATTTACAACCGAGGGCATGATGACTTTATCCAGTATTCTGAGGCAAAACGCTCGAAACAACGCAAGACCAATCCGATTCGAACCGGTGACGGATCAAGCGAGAGCAAGCCCTCATTTCTAGAGTGCGAATTCGAGCGGTCATAACTCAGCGCCTCTCATACAACCATAGGGATTCTAGCCTGAGCTTGCAGAAAATTCTGTGAAATATGCCGGAATACGCCGAAAACAATCTTCTTCTTTTCTTTCAGAGAGCCGTCAAACCACCACGTCTCTGGTAGTGGACAGATCACTGGGCAGGGGACAGAGTTAGTTTGCAATTCATGTCAAACACCTCACAAATTTTAAGGATGACGTGGACTGCCTTCCGGTTGGTTTTTCTGAAGAGCGCTTATGATTACTTCTGCTACCCAAAACCTTCGACCAAGAGTCCGCGCTTCCAACCCACCCTGGCTATTTGTTTTCCATTGTCTAGGTTTGGCTTGAGTCTCAGTTAACCTTCCTCCTTTGGACGTACTGGCATCTGTGTACCGAAAAGGCTCCACAGTTGGGCCGGAAAAATTTAGTGCAACTCGAATTCCACCGGACTATAGCGTAGGGTGTGCAGGGTAGCCTAACAAGGTTTGTTTATCTCTGACTAGCCTCCGTTTGGTCCTTCAGGTTTTGAGTCATATTATTTGTGACGATGCGCACCTTAAGAACGGAGGCTGATTGGCTGGGCCTACGGTCACCACTACATTTTTGATGCTGGGTCTTTGAAATGAAGGCATTAATGAGAGAACCCAGTTGCTTGCTTCTCAAAGAGACAACTCTCTGGCAGTGTCAACACACACACAAATTAATTGCGCGACTACATCTGGCCGCACGCTACATCAATCATCTAATGGTAACCTCAGTCTGGTAGCTTTTTCGGCTGCATACAGTAAGGATGGACAAAAACAGGCAATTACAGGTGACCCACATCCCGTTTCACATGCTAACTCTCCTCACCTACTCAATTCGCTGCCGCCAACACCACTCGTTCCAATGAACTGACAAATTCATTTGAAACCCACAATCTTCAGCCATCTCAACTAGAGCTGATTCAACTATCGGGAATATAGGCACCTCAAAATTATTGTTCTCTTGAAGTTCTCTCCAGCGGGCAGTTCTCAACGTTTTCAACCCGAGACAAACTGCACAACCGCTGTTCCGTGTACGTTGGACCCTTTTTCATTTGATGTTTGCCACTTCGTCAAAACATGACCTAACTATGGTGGTTCAAATGTGCACCCTAACGTTTTCCCAGTTCACTTTTCATGCCTCTGATGGTATCAAAGTCGTCTTGGTTGGTTTATGTTTAAGCTATCCAAACTGAGAGGTCTTCTAAGCCTGGACGACTGTTGACGGTCGTCCATGTGTGGCTCTTTCGTAACTTATTAAACATATTGCTAACCGTTGTCTATTCAGCCTGTTCTTCCCTGGTACTCTCCATATCATCCCCTACAATTTGGTCGCTCTCAGGATGGACTATAATGTAGGACTTCGTTATGTTTGCCTTTGATATGAAGCCACAGCTGGGTAGATTTAGCACATTTGGTGACCGCTTTGAACCAGAGCCATGGTATGGTCAACGACAAACACAGCTAAGTACTGACTTCTGAAATGACCGAAAATTTTTGACCAGTATGTGTTGTCCACATGCGAGACAACTTCAAGCGCGACAGGAGCATATCCTTAATAGCTAAAGTCGGTTTAGATCATTTGCCGACCGTCGATGATTCGAGAGCATCCGAATGAATTCCGAAAACCCGTTTTTCCCTCGTCCTCTTCCTTCGTGCACAAGATCCTCTCATCTCGTATGGCTTTAGGGGACTCGCAAGACCCCAAAATGAGACGGAGTTATCAGAACTTTCCGCCAGTCTCGTTTTGAAACTCCTGGAAGGAACTATCTATGACCGTAAAAGAGCACTGTTGTTTGTACGTAGCCGGACTGAACTTATCCCGGTTTTCACTGGCCTGGCAACGCCAAAAATATAAGCGAACTACAGCTGTCCTTCCGTTTTATTTAAAAGTATATATTTCCGAGGGGTAGCCTGAAGATCTCCTTCGAGGCTTACGGCTAACCTCGACGAGCAAGGAGTTGCCACCTTCGTCCTAGTTGAGTTGCAACAACCCAGGTTCATTTCGTTATTCAGACAACACACACCTTAAGGTGTGGGTTCTTCCCTCTTTCTCTCTGAAGCAACCACATAAATATAAAATGTAAATTCCCCATTATTTCCGAATACCAGCGGTCACTGTTAGTTCTTTATGGCCGTTTTTGTAATGAACCACTCTTTTCATGGAGCTGACAGCAATGACTCGGTGACTGACGATCTACACTCCTACCTTCCCGCTAAGTTGACGTGGTAGGTTCCAGTTAGACTACGATTCTGGTCCATCATCTCGGAAGCTGTTGCTCAATCGCTTATTATTTTCCATCGTCCCTGTTCAAATTAACCCCCTTTGTCCAATACGGACCCTATGGTTGGATTCTGTGGATGAACTAGAAACTACCGCCGTGTAAGCTCACCATGTAATCAAAAGTTCCAAATAGCCCAACCACTAGCCTCTCAGGTCGCTACCTCAGCGGCCAAGTCATCACATTCGCAAAATTAGACAGCAAGTCTGCTGCTAGACTTACACTTTCTGATCGGCTGATCCCTAAGGCAAAAACGGAACACAAGTCCTGCTATAACTGGTGGTCTCCTGCATCACTGTCTGGAGGTACTTCACACATGCCGGGCAGCCCACTTATAATGATTTGTTGTACCTCTCCTACATTGGCAACCTCACCTGGCCATTGGTGGCTTCGTCAGCCAACAAAATTCCACCATTTCCTGAGTTCTTTCGACTTGCTTTCATCCTCTCATAACTTTTTTATTCGAAATCGTTTTATCTGATTTTTCCTGCCACCCATCAGACTGCCTTATTTATCCTATTCCTCTGTTTATTATTCCTCGTTTTAAGCTCCAAACTTCGGCTGCGCTTGCTCCAAACGTCCGGTACAACCATGATTCATTCAATCTTGCAAGCTATATACATGTCCCTCGCAATTATACGTAATGGTACATCAGGCTATCTCTGTCAGTGTCAATCTCTCCACGCTAACCAGATCCAGCTGTCACAGAAAAGCGTATCCACTCACCGATGGCGGCAACCGAGAAGGTCCTTACGGGGCTGTCCAGAACCCGAAGTATATCGATGCGATGATGGCCTGGAACTGTCATATCCATTCTTATGTTACTCCCGCAACTATTTTCCTATCCTCCACCGTCAACTATCGCCTGTTCGATCCTGTAATTGCAACTACGAACAAATTTTCTGGCTAGCCCCAAGCGCATCTGGGACGAGTTCATTCTAGCCTGCCGACTCTTTCTTTCGCACTTCCTGCAGCAATTTCGGTTTGCCACGTCCAAAAGTTCCACTTCATTTACGGTGTCCGTTTGGCCCTATTAATTGGCACTATGTTGCCATCAAAGCTACCCTTCACACCTGACCTCCCCTCAACAGTGCTACCAATGGGTCTACTTAGTTTCAGTTTAAACCATATTTTTTATTAAAAAACTTGACGTTTATTTCCACTTCAAATTCTTCCACCTCCACCTCCATTTTTTATCTTCGCGACCGTGACCATTTACTCACCTAACCAAGGTCACTCATGGCCAGCAATGTTTTTCAGCTTCAGTTCGTGTCAGCCGGCTTCATCGCTGGACTAGTCACACCTCAGGCCCAGTATTTTCGGCTCAGTATTTCCGGTCCTCACATCTGCGGTGTTCCGTCGTTGTACCTCTCTACCCGTCGTTCATGTTGTAACGACCCGATCATGCCTAACCTGGCACGTTCTCTACAAATCAGGATATAAACCTATGCGATCATCCGATATGAGGCTATGCAGATAATGAAAGCTCTCCAAGATCCCTAGTATTGTCGACGAAACGACGGGTCTCGGTGAGGCACATGTCTGAGCCCCTAACCCTGCTTTGCACTTCGGGGATGAATATAAAATAGGTTACGTAATATGGTCCTCCAATTCCTGGTGTCCGTTATCTTCTCTCACGTAATTTTGCGCGAAGTCGGTGGCCTAAACAGACTTATGCAATGGGAACTAATTCGGTTAAGGGTGGAAATGGCAGACCAAAATGGTGATCCCGACAAAGACCTTACTATTCCTTCTGTGGACCTTGGCACATCTAACTGTTTGGAGTGGATTTCCATGTGCGCACGGTTGATTCGGACTTGACTTTAGGGTAGTTTGCCAATTCATTGGCCCACTCCGCCTGTGCACATTTGAGCTCTATTTATTTTGCCTCTCCGTATTCGCCACTCATCTTGCTGCACAAACCGTCTCGTCCGATACTTTTGTACTGATGTAACGGTGATATTACTGATGGAAAGTCACGTGAGTAGTACGTTTTCTTCTTGTAAACTCACTTTGCGTCTTTTGAAAAGAAATATATATTGCGGAATTCGTGGAGTCGCTGCGTAGCATTTGCTTAGACTTCAGCGGAAGTCAATGAATACTCAGGAAGTTTCGGGGATACGCGTTCAAGAGAAAGGGGATGTTTAGTTTTTGGAAATAAGATGCAAATGAGAGTTTTTCTTCCATGTCGAATAGTCTGTAACTAGTCAGTTGGCATTTGCTAATGAATAAGTCCGCAGTGAGGGTCTCTTTCCTTTCTTTTGGTGCCACGACCAGGATAAGGATGAAGATCCCGTGGCCACAACCTTTTGAGGATGGGGATGTTCGGACCTTTCTGGAACACTGAGGAGGTTGTGGGGGGCTAGTGAACCGGATACCGACTGGGGTAAGTTGGTGGCGCCGAAGACCCCCTCAGACTGCCGAGCGTAGGCGGCTCTTCTTGCGGACAGAAGTAGCCCTCGGGAGATGAACTGGGCCGCCGCGAAGGAAGCCATTAAAGCGAAGTTCGACACGCCAGTCGACCGCCAGGGGGCTATGAAGTGGTTAAAGAGGGCCAAAATGGCGACTATATTTGACCCGACCGTGTTCTTTGCCGGCGTGCAGCAGTCGTTGGACCGCGCTTCGCCAGGACCGGACGGAGTGTCACGCCACCAGTTGCGTTTCGACCAGTTCGTCGAAGTTGTACAGCCGGCGCTAGGTGCCCAGTTGCGTTTGGTGCGAGCAACTGGTCAGTCGAGTGTGTAAGAGCTGGTGCGTCTGGCCCGAAAACTGTCCGAGGCACGACTGGTCACGTTGCAGTCGCAGAAGAACAGGGATGGTTCACCAGTGGAAGAACTGCAGACCAGAGTGGACCAACTCGCCAGACGGCTTGCAGCCTTGAAGACGGAAACGCGGAAGCACGCTCAAACGAGCCGGTTCTACTTGTGGGGCAAGCCTGGTCACTGGGAGAATCAGTGTCCCTGTGCCGGATCACTTGTATATAATGAAACTTCAAAGTACTCTCCTTTTTCTGAGTGTGCCACGATCAGCGCACTGACACAAGCTGCTATAAAATCCATCGTCAAAGTAGACGGGAAAAGGAAGTTACGTTTGATTGATATAGGAGCAACTGTATCGCTGAGGCTGAGAAGGAGCCAAGCTAAACGCATATCGTTCGCCGTAGCCGCGAGAGAATTGGGTGGCTATTGACTGAGGATTGACGGGTTGTCAATGCGCTCAATACGCCTACGCGACAAGTCCGTGCAGCACGCGTTTTTGATCAGCCCAGACGTAGAACAGACAATATTGGAGGAGGATTTTCTCGAGGGCACAGATTGCGCGATTGACCCAAAGCAGGGAAAGCTGGTGACAAGGTATGGCGCAATCAAGCGTATAGGTTACCCAGGCGCTGCCGTGAGTGAGTTGCGCGTCCGAAAACCTCCGTCTTATAACGTACCGCCAGTACGTCCGTGGTCGAAGAATATTCCGAACTGTTCACGGACGATGAGGATCCGTTTGGCTTCTGCCCGTGGATTGGACACCAAGTTCCCCTTTCGTCAGAACGCCTTCAAGCCTATGGCCCCGTACGTTGCCGCTCCATTTACGGGAGGAGGTCCATAAGCAGATTCAAGAGATGTTGAATAATGGCATAATCGAAGGAGCCAGTAGTTCGTACGATTCTTCAGTTGTGCTTGTAAGAAAGACGGACGGATAATACAGGTTTTGCGTGGCAACCCGGCTTGAATGAACTGACCGTAAATCGGGTTGTAGCTGTGCCTTCGGTTGCGGAGATTTCCTATTCCCCTCAAAATTCTTGATATTTCACTGTGTTTGACCTGCGTTCCGGACACTGGAAACTACCTACCAAGGCGGAGGATCGAGGGATTACGGCGTTCCCGGCTGGGAATAACCAGTAATAAGTTAGACGAATGCTGTTTGGTTTGTCTGGGGCACCATTCACATTCCGGCGCTTGATGCTTCGTTTACCGAAGGGACTCCAGATTGTTGCCGTGTACGGGGACGATATCGTTGTGTACAACAATTTGGAACCGGAGCACGTGGTTCGTTTGAAGGCTGTATTGAAGTGGATCCGGGAGGCTGGCTTGCGGATAGATGAAGCCAAGACAAAACTTGCTCGGAGTTCGGTGACACCGCTGGGACATAGAGTGGGTAATGGAGAAGTTTGCCCATTGCCAGAAAATTTGGCAAAGGTCGAGGATTGTGCTGTTCCCAATTCAAAGCGGTCTCTATGGAAGTTTTTTGAACGAGCAAAGTACTACATCCGGTTTGTCAAAGATTTCAACATAATTGCTGCTTCACTGCATGACTTGCCCGGTCAAAATCAGAAATTCGGATGGACCAGGGAAGCACGTGGGGCTTTTAGGCGGGTCAAAGCGCGGATGCTGGATCAGCAACTGACCCTCTAACTCCCCAGGTTCGGAGAGACGTTCACTGTTGCAACAGACACTGGTGATCGCGGTATGGAAGCAGTTCCAAAGCAGAGGAAGCGAGCTGTCGAATACGCCAGTCGTGTCCTGAAAAACGCTGAACAGAAGTATTTTACCTTTGGAAAGAATGTTTAGCAACGAACTGGGCTCGGGATAAGTGGAAGCCACATCTTATTGGACAATGATTTTATGTCGAAACCGATCACGGCCATTTGGAGTGGATCGAGGCCACCGGAGACCATCGAATTAAAGCTCGCGCGCTGGGTACTCCGGTTAAAAGGGTACGTCTTTTCGATTTTGCGCGCACCAATTAAGTAGAACCACATAGCTGATTGTCTGTCAAGACCAGAGGTCTGAGGTTAGGCTCCCAGGATTATGATTGAGGCAAATAGCCTTGTCGTCTACTTTGATCTTGTAAGGTTAGTGCACTCCAGGAGGATGCTGTGTTATGGAAGGCTGCAACCTGCTTGTTGGATGGCAAGAGTATCGAGAGCGGAGATGGACGACAAGGAATGGGAAGCGTTCCAGCATCACTTTGATCGTCTGAGTCGAATGAGGCTGACTTAATTTACCAGAACGCGACCAAATCTGAAGTTTTGTGCTTCCCATGATACCCGTGTCTTGAGAAGGAAGCTCATCGCCGAATGGAACGAGATGGCACACACAGGGTGCACCAAGACGTACGACGTGCTTCGGCAAAGAAAAATCTGGCTCGGGATGATAAACAAGGCGATGGATTGTGTGGTGTCCTGTAGATGGTTCCAACGGATGAAAGAGGACACGACAGGGGCAATCAATCCCATGGAACCTATTCCTGTCTCAGAAATCGGAGAGTTGTGGTCCGTTGACGATGTGCGCCCCTTTCCGGCGACAACCAGCTGGAATTAATACATCGTGATGATGACAGAACACCTGTCACGGTGGATTGAGGCGGCAGCCGTGCCTAAGCAGCGGGCGATGACTATCAGGAGAGTACTATGCGCTACATCGCGGCCAACCATGGGGTGCCGTAAAGTGATCCTAACCGATCAGGGTTCCTTGCTTCGAGAGCTTTTACTTTAGGAATCGCTTTCAGAAGCTGGGTAGTGGCTGGCAACACGCTCGTCTCCGGAGAAACTAGAGGAAGAAAGAAGGGGAGCTCGAGAAAACTTGACCGCCGTTCAGGAAAGAGCTAGTCAGAAAACGGCAAGTAAAAAGCACGAACCTTCATCATAGGCACGAAGGTCAAGTGGAAGGACCACCCAAATCCTGGAGGGAGTGGACTGGGGTCGTGGAAGCTAGGCAGTCGATGGCAAAGTCCATTTGTCGTTACCGACCACCACGGGAACGTCTATGCGATTCAAGATGGTCGGGGACCGAAAAGAGTAAATGGGACGCAGCTTCGTAAGTGGCATGATATACCCGAACAGCGACCGAATAGACCCGTGCCGAAGCCGAACTGACGGAGGTAAATGAAAATTGATGGCATGCGAACGAACTTTGAAGGATGAAGGTCAGTTACATTGATATTACTGATGGGGAGGCATGCGAGTAGTGTCTTCCCATGAATCCGCCTCTTGGTAACTGGGATCTATTAGGCAGTTTGTGAGGTCACTTTATAGCATTTGCCTGCATGTTAGTAACAGTCAATGAATACGCAGGAAAGTTCAGGAAGTCGCTTTCGAAAGAAGATGAATGTACAATTTTTGTGAGTAAGAAGTATATGAGAGTTTTCCTTCCTTGTCCAATAGTCTGTACCTGGTCATTTGGCATTTTATGATAAGTAACTCCGCAGCAAAGGCCTTCTTCATTTCACTGGTACGTGTGTCTGTGTAAGTTTTTTAAGTTTCACAAATCTGTTTCTTACGAATTTCGGCAAGCGGTTGTAGGATGATACCCGTGAGCAATTTAAGGATGGCAGTGATTGCATCGATACGCCAGTGATTCTGACATTTGTATCTATCCTCTTTACGAAGCACCGGACGAATATAGGGTTTTTAAATTCCTCATGCGCTGCATTCGCCCACCGAGTGTTGAGCAGGTATCTTGTGTAAAAAACGAAGACCGTTTCTTTCATGTTCTGACAGTACAGTTGTGAGAATTAAGTTTCATACGTATATCGGTATAACCAGACGAACTAGAAATCCAGAATTCAGCGAAGCGTAACAACCAGCACGTATGTATTCGAATTGACGAATATGTACAGCATATGAAATATTAAAACAAGAGAATAATGGATAGAGCGATGATTAGAGTATCAGTCATGTTCATCACAATATTTCTGGTTTTTTCAAACATTTTCTTCGTTTTTGACCTTATTCTTCATGCAGAATCGTGCAATAAATTCACCACATCGTTTACAGTTGGCTAAAAGGTTCAACCCTTGCGTGACTGATTAGGAAATTGGGCAGCTAGCCGGTCTGCAATCAAAGCAATTGACTGAGATTGGAGACACTAGAGCTAATAATGCTTCAAAGATTTGCTGATTAATACACGTGATCGAGTCTTTTGACAAAGCTTCTCGGGTCGGGTTTTTTCTTGCGATTCGGCAGTTCCTTCTTACGCAAATGGCGCCGGCGATAAGGTTTAGAGCATTTCTTAATTTTCGGGCGCGGGGCAGTAATCTAACCTATACAAAGAACCAACACTGTAGACATCCTATGGTTCTTTGCACTGGGCACTTAATGCTGTGTAAACAACCGTCAAAGGAAGGTTATTCCGCATACGAAATGCCCGAAATGTGAAGAAATTCTGCCTCATGAAGTTGCGCATTCAGTGCCTCAAAATCTGCTTAGGATGTCCTTGCCATATGTTAGGTCATTGGTGAATAATCTGTTGGCCAAATCTTGTTTAGAGAGGGTTTAAGCAAGAATTAGGTCCCACAGGAGGCAGAGATACTTCAAGGAA